CCCTGCATGTCCCTCTCCTGCACAGCCCCCCTTCCCTGCATGTCCCTCTCCTGCACAGCCCCCCACTTCCCTGCATGTTATCCTCTAGCACAGCCCCCTTTTCCTTCCATGCCCTCTGCAGTTCCCTCTACCCTGCATGTCCCTGTGCACAGTCCCCCTCTTCTCTCATGGTCCCCCTTTTTGCATAGCTCCCTTTCCCCTGCATGTACCTCTCCTGCACAGCCTTGTCCCTCCATACTCTCTGCAGTCCCCTCTTCCTTGCATGCCTCCTTACACAGTTCCCCCTCTTCCCTTCATGGTTCCCGTCCTGCACAGCCCACCTCTTCCCTTCATGCAACTCCCACCCTGCAAAGCCCCTCTTCCCTGGACGCCCCCTTTCACAGCACCCTCCTGTCTGCCTGCCTCTCTACACAGCTCGCCCCACCTGCCTGCATGGCTCCCACCTCCTGAACAGCCCTTCCACCCTGCACCCTGTCACCTTGTACAGGTACAGGCTGGGGTGGGAGCTTCAGGGTTACCTTCTTGCTCAGCTGCTGGTTCTCCTTCTCCAGCTCCCCACACCTGAGGCTGCCCTCCTCCAAGGCCAGGGACGCCTCCCGCAGCCCCTGGATGGTGCTTTGCAGGCTCTGGTTCTCCTTCTCCAGCTTCAGGATGCGGCTGGAGGCGCATTCGTTCAGCTCGAACACAAATGACTTCCTGGAGGCTGAGGCACAGTGCGATGGGGAACTGGTCAGAGATCAGAGCTGCACAAGCACACGTCATAGACCGCTGATGCCCCATTACACACAGACTGTGGCCACCCCTTCACAGGGCACAGCCATCCCGTCAAAGACACCCTGTTACACGCAGGCTGTGGCCACTCCTTCCCAGGGTACAGCCATCCCGTCACAGGCCACAGACACCCTGTTACACACAGGCTGTGGCCACTCCTTCCCAGGGCACAGCCATCCCGTCACAGGCCACAGACACCCTGTTACACACAGGCTATGGCCACTCCTTCCCAGGGTACAGCCATCCTGTCACAGGCCACAGACACCCCATCACAGGCCTTAGACATCCCATCACAGACACCCCGTTACACGCAGGCTGTGGCCACTCCTCCCTAGGGCACAGCCATAATGTCACAGGCCACAGACACCCCATCACAGGCCTTAGACATCCCGTCACAGGCTGTGGATGCCCCGTTACACACCAGCCACGGATGTCCATCACAGGTCATGGCTACCCCTTCAAAGGCCACACTCACCCCATCATAGGCCACAGCCTCCACCCATCACAGAGCAGACATGCCTGTTAAAAGGCCATGGATGCCCCATCTCAGGCCAAGCAGAGTCCCCTCATACCACACGAGTTATATTTCCTAACTCTGCCCCGTGGCCCTCACGCCAACTGGGGCAGGGTTTCCATTCTTATACGACCACTGCATCACATGTCTCAAACCCTCACCTCCCAGGTATAAGAGCAGACAAGGCACAGAGCAAAGGCAAAAAGGGGAAGACGGTGGCATACGGAGATCACCACAAGAAACAGGCACTGGAGACACGGGACTCGAGCACATGAGGACTGTCACCCAGACGTAACTCTCCACAGCCCTGAATGCTGACGTCCAGCCCCGAAACCGTGAGGAAGGAGGTTCTGATCACTGAAGCCAACAGGGGGGCTTTGTGGTTCCAGCAGCACTGTGTGACTTGACACCTGCAACGGTTCGAGACCCCCTCCGTCCTCATGGGGGTCCGTCAGGGGGCAGTCCTTGCCCAGAAAGCAAGCAGAGGATGGTGGAACCAAAAGCAATCAGACCCACTGCTGCCTGGCTCGGACTCAGAGACTCTCCACTGGGCTTCAGTCGCTACCTGACCGCGTAACTCAGTGACAGAGACCAACAGGCACGCCAGGCAGGTGGCATTTTCTATGCCAGGCCCGAGTGGTGTGCAAGGGCACGGCAGCTGACCACCACGTCGGCCGTGGGGTGAAAGCTGTGCTGCTGAGGACGTGTTGCACTCGCTGTCCCCCAGTGAGACCTTGGACACAGACCGTTCTCTGCACTAAGACTGGCGGCAAACGAGCCCCAGCTCTATACACAGCATAAAGATGCTGCCTGAGCTGAACGTGGAGGAGGAAGAGAGAAGACGGGCGAGCACACGCACCACCTGCCCTGTCTCTACCAGGTGCGTGGCTTCAGGTAAGTCCTCTGTGTATGGGGCTCTGTCCTCACTCAGTTATTTCTGCAGCACTTACAAGAAGGATCGTTTTCAAGGTTCTTCAAGTTACACTTCTGCAGAGAGCTGATGACAAGCTCACCTCCTTTTCCATCAATTTATGCCTCAGTTACGATGACATCAAAATGATTCTTTTTTCCCTTTTTTAAATTAAATTTTATTAATTTTAATGAACATTTATAGAGATTTTGGGTGTCCAATCAGTCATTGTTGCACTATTTTCTCTAC